CATCAGACATGATTGCATTTCAAAAAGAAAGAACCTCTGTCCGTCTTCTCCTTCTTATTTCTTCTCCATGTGAAAAAGATTTTGAGTTTGTGTTGCTCCCTTGTGCCACCTGTAATTATTATCTGTCTCTTTTATCTCTTCTTCCTCTGTTCTACACTTCACAATTTCTCTCCTTTGCCTTTGCAATTATACGTGTATGCGCATCTTGTCCACATCTGTATGTCTGAAGGAAAGCCCTTAAAGCTATTAAGCATACGGTCAAACCTCAGCTTTTAGGACACTGCAACATCGCAGCTTAATTTCATTTGCTTCAGGAAATGTAGTCATTGAGTTGAAACTCAATTCATTACTGAACGTGACTCATACTTCTTCAATTTCAATTTTACCGGTCAATCAGACTAAGCTTGCCTTAGCTGTAAGGTGTATTTTACTCCCCGGAGGCAGCAATTATTGGGGTCTGCCTCTCTTTTTGTTCCCTTCTTTCATCACTCTTGTCTACTTCTTGTGCACTTGGGTACACTCTTCACACCTGTCTCTCAAAAGTCTTTCCTTGGAAACCATTAATTAATTTGTGTGTGTGTGTGTGTGTGTGTGTGTGTGTGTCAGAATGAGTGTGTGGCTGTCCATACAAATGTGTGTCTAGGCAGCTAATGAATAAGAAAAAAAGGCGAATTCCCAAAGATTATTAAAAGAAATGTGCTCAATTTCAGTAACACTTTCTCAGTCTCAAGGAGAGTGTTTAGAATGCTTTATGACACCTGCATAAACCTTTCATGGCATCTGGGAAGCATACATTCATTTATAAAGCTTCAGATAACATATTATTCGTCATTTTTATTATTTTTTTTTATTTTTATTTTGACATCAAGTTGACATAACACTTGAGTTAAGTGATTTTTATTGACATTTGGCTGTGAGACGTTCCTGGTGGACTTCCTGACAAGTGACGTTGTAGCTCAGTGCACTTTTGGTGTGTCAGAGTCACATAATGGTGATGATATGAAATAGCTCAATAAGAAAAGGGTTATACTGCTGTACTGTGACAATCTCTGTTGGTAGAAATGAATTGAATGGGAAAAAATTAAAACAATTAACACGTATATATTTTTTCTGGTTCTTAAGCAAACTGAGTATATACACTGCCCTCCAAAAGTTTGGAAACGCCTGAACAAAATAGGGTTTTTGGGCAATATCAGCAATATCAGCATAAATCCTCTTTAGTTAGTGACCATTTTGCATTGATAATAAGGGACAACACTAGGCATCTGAGCAGTCAGTTTATTCAAACATTGACTTGATATATTACTCCAAGCCTCCTGGAGGATTGCCCAAAGATGATTCACACTGGTTGGACACTTCTTACGGACATCACGGTCCAGTTCCTCCCATAGCAG